AAGCCCTAAAAGTGGTCTTCGTAAAGATCAAATGTCCAGGAATTACTTGACGAAATTAAAAGACTGACAAAGCGGACTTAAAACAGAAATTTTTTTCAATAAAAATTAAAAACGACTTTTGTATTGTTTTTCGCATAACTTAGTATTTATGTGGTAAAATTCCAGTTTAAAACAATAAAAAAACGTTATTAATTTCATAGCTTAATCAAAATGCCAATCCAACGCTCAATTTGCTGCATAAAATTTCACCGTAAAGTAGCACTTCATTCAATACATTTAAGCCGGCAAGCAAACCAGAAACGAAATACCATTTCATTATGCGAAACCCCTCAAGTGCCCCACTGGCCGGCAACTAGCCAACCGACCGACCGACCGACTACTGTACGTCGCCTCCAGCAGAGCGCAGTGTGTGCGTTGGCAGCAAGTGAGAATACAGTGAAACCTCTCCTAACGGACACCTCTATTAGACGGACATCTCCCTTGGGCGGACATTTTTTCCTATACCAAGTTTTAAGTATAAATTTCGGAACAAATTACTCTCTCTTAAGCGGACACTCTCTTGGCCGGACGCGGACAGTTATTTTGCATAAAATTTACACAAAAACTCTATTGGGCGGACGCGAACCTCTTATCAACGGACATTAAGATTTCTTTTCATAACAAATCAAACAAAAACCTTCGTTGAGCGGACGCGACCTCCTCATAGGCGGACTACTAAATGGAAAAAGGGGACTTCCCGCACAAAATGTGATTGTTATGCACACATTTAGTTTGGTTTGCGCAGTGGTTTAGGTTCGTTATTTGAATTGTCAGAAACCCTTGGAGACTGATAAAAACATGAAAACTATTGATGAAAAATGTACTGACACTGAAAAAATTAAAAATAAAACTTACGTCAATCGACAATTTCCCAGTTTTTTATGTAATGAATCTATGGTTTTATGTAGTTTATGGACTAAAATGTAAAATTTATTTTTATTTTGTTATTACTTAATATGTACTTACGCACATAAATGAAATGTGCATTTTTGAAAAAATACATGCACATTTTTGTTTGAACGATGTAATATCAATATCTCTTATTCAAATAAGAAATAGTGACTATTCAATTAATTAAAACATTAAAAAGTTCTAAAACAGGCTTCCCCTCCATTAAGCGGACACCTCTCTTGGGCGGACAACAAATGACTGACGGTGAGTGTCCGCCCAAGAGAGGTTTCACTGTATTTGCATTGCAAGCATGATTACCTAATAATGTGATTGCAACCGCAGAACCACAAACAAAACCGCCCACACACACACGCACACACACACACACTACGCGCTTTTGTTGCAATTAAGCGCATTTGTGCGGGAAAGTGCCGCCACAAACATCCCAGCGCGATATGATTTTGCACCAAATTTGAAACATTTTGGCCATTTCGCTAACTTTGATATGCAGACATGCATGGATTCTTACATAAATACATAGATACGCATACACATACACATACAAATGCAGACAAACACTTTGTTGGCTGCCAGATGCATTTGGAACGGTGCTTTTAGCCTAATTCGCGCATATTTAAAACGAAATTGAATGCTGCCGATTGCTATTGTGGCAACCGATGTTGCAGATCGCCAGTGCCTCCCGCGGAGTAGGGGCTACCTCCTCGCGCTTGCACACGTGCCTGCCACATCGTCTGACTTGGTCATAAATGTTTTGCGCCACAAAGAGAAGTTAAATTTGATTTGCATTTATGCGCACACAAAGCGCAATTACGCGATGCTGTGATATACATACATATTTTTAATAAAAATGTAAAATTGTTCAACAAAAAAAAAAACAAAAAAAAAAACGGATCGGCAATTCAAAGTAAATACTAGTTAAATAGCGAGCGCGCAACATGGAAAATTGTTGCCTGTGACATGTGGGCATTGTTTGCACGCGAACGAAAAAAAACGCCGCCAATTCGTTGCATGTTGTCAACGTTTTTGACGCAACAATTCTCGTGCGCCGCTTAAATTACAGCAAAACGAAAAAGCAAAAAGCACACTTTTTAAAGCAGCAAAGGCAACAACACAAAGCAGACAACAGAACCATAAAGAGAAAAACTTGAAACTGAAATTGAAATTGAAAAATGTGCACAGCGTGTTGCACGTGCGGCGCATGCAAACGCAAATGCAAATGCAAATACAACAACAGAGACTTTTAAGCTGCAACAACACCTACCGCTGTAGTCGCTGTATTTTATTACTGACTCCTGATAACGGTTCATTACAATTTGACGTTTTTCAATTCGTTGTGTGTCATTCTCGGAAAGGCAAAAATTCTGTCCGCTTTGCTCCTTCCTCTTGCCAATCGCTACCTGGTAGCTGGCCTGCTCATTTTTTTTTATTATTATCATTGTTGTAGTTGTTGTTGCTTTTGTCATACATTTTACATGCATTTCATTGACACCAAATTAATTGTCTGTGTGGCATGCAACATTGATCTCTTTGTCCCCCCTTTGTCAAGTGTCGATTATTTTGTGCA